TCCATAATTCATCTGTGTCCCCAGCGAGTGCGTGATTGTATTTCTCTCTGCGATACAGCTGATCAGGCGTCCACCCTTCCCGGAAGGGGTTCAAGGAGCAGTAGGGGGACCCCTCCCACGTGGCGAGGGCCTCGGTTAATGTCCTCGCCCCGGATGCACTGCTGGCGCAGCGTCCAGCACCTGGGGCTGAGCAAGCCTGGGCCAGTACACCTGCGTCTTAGCATTCACTCTGTGTCCAGTGAAGGCGGCTTCCTCCTGGAAGGTTGGTGCGGAGAGTGCTTCTGGCTTTCCTGGGAGTCATGGCCTCAAAAGCGGAAAGCAGATCATGGATTGTGCCATCCAGGCCTCAGAAGTCCCAGAGCTCTGAGAAGGCATGGCTGGGCACCGTTTTGGGCCGGCGGAATCAGCGCCCGGCCACCTGCAACCTCTCTGACTGGCTTTCCTGGACAGGGAGGCAGTTTCTGCGCGGAAGCCCAGCGGGACGATTTGTGCCCCTTGCTGTGGCTCACAAGCGCTTCCCCTGGGGTTGGCCCTGCAGCCTGACCCAGCAGAGGCCCACCCTGAGCGGGCGTGGCGTGGCCTCTTCCGGGGGTTGCCTTCCGGAGCACAGCGGGCTCAGGACTGTCAGGTGGGCTCCTGGGGACCGTCCCATTCTCTGGGAATCCCCAGGCCTTTTCCTGGTCTGAAGAGCCTCCCCATAGCGCTTTGAAGCGCCTCTCCTCGGGAGTGCGTGTGCATCAGGCCCGGTGTTTGAGTCCACCACCAACTTCTTCCACCGGGCCGCTAAGTCTCTGGCAAAGTCGCCCACGTGCTGGTGCTTCATGGCGCTCATTCGTCTTTCTGATTCCAGTCTCCGCCAGGATGTCTGCCGTCATGGAGCAAGGCGGAGGATTTCTGCAAACATTTCTCTAGCTTTTTGGTCCGTCTTGTGGCCAGACGCACCTGCAACCTTCTCCACTGCGTGCAGCGTAGTGGACCCTGCCGCCATCTCAGCAGAGCTGTGCAGGCGTCGCTGTCAGCGGTCGCGGCTCTCAGCCTCAGGGCGGCAGGACACGAGAAGTCTGGGAGTCGCGGGCCTGGCTGCCCGGTTGCGGATGTGGAGTCGCAGCCTGGAGGAGCTCGGTCCTCGGGCGGCGGGCCACTGGTTCTGGGGCGCTGGTCTCGCAGACCCCGCAGGCCTCGGGGCGTGGAGTCACGGCGGCCTGGAGCAAGCTCAGTCCTCGGTGCAGCCCGGCCACTTGGTCTGGGCGGTCCTTACAGACAGCTAGCAGGCCCTTCTGGTCCTCAGGATGCGTGGGAGCCACAGCCTGGGTGACCTCTGCCCCGTGCGCCGTCCAACGCCCGAGTGGCTCCGTGCCAGAGCACGGCCTTATATAGCCAGCCCCAGGCCCACCCAGGGCTGAAGCCCTGACCGCCCTTGGCCCCTGGGCTGCCGCCCGATCTACGTAATCATTGCGTCAGCAAATACGGCCAATCAGGACGGTCCACGCCAGGTGGCCTGCTGTGCCCCACAAGTTGTTTAGGTTAATTTCAGCTGGGGCCACACCCCACTGAGTTCTACCGCTGGCCCTCCGTGTTGTAGGTTCACGTCTGTGGATTCCAAGACACATGACTGAATCTTCTTGGGAGTAAAACGAAAATAACAACACCGAACATAGACAAAATGGTAGAAAGAAGAACCCACAGAGGATAACAACCCTTTACCTAGGATTGGCGTGGTGTGAGGGGACTTGCCAACGTGCATTGAAAAGTGGGATTAAGAGAAAAATAAACAATTATTTCACTTCTCAACATCGGCTCATCAAGTTCAAGGCGCTTTTGGAAGCAGTATTTTCCCGCCACTCTAGCCCATCCCTCTAAAACCCCCAGGGTCCTGGGAATGTTACGATTTCCATGAAATCTTTCCTCATTAACTGGAGAGAAAACTGGGTGCTTTTTACAGATTTTCTAAGTCTAGGAAACAAAAAGAAGTCAGCAGGCGCCAAATCAGGACTGTAAGGTGGACGCCTCATAGTTTCTCATGGCCAAGTCTTGCCCAGCTGCCCTTGTCAGTGAAGGCATGAGCAAGACATTGCTCGTGGTGGAAAGAACTCTCTAGTGAGGACTGTTCTCGCTCCAGCTTTGGCGGCTGACTTTGTGAAGCAACTCTCCTAGTGAGCAGATGTGATCACAGTTTGGCCCTCCAGAGATCGACGGGCCGAATTCCTCTGGCATCCCCCAAAGCGGTGGCACTGACCTCTGCTCTTGACTGCTCCTCTGTGGCTTTGAATGGAGCGCTGCCACCTCTTGGTAGCCACGGCCTGGTGCTTGGTCTTCAGGATCCTGCCGGTAGAGCCGTTTCATCTCCTGTGCTTGATCTTGGAAAAACGCTTCCCAGGATCTTGCTCCCACCGGCTGTTTAAAATCTCCTCAGAAAGGCTTGCTCTGGCCTGCAGGTGATGTTGGTGCCACAGTTTGGGCAGCCAGATTCCACTCTAATCTTTCCAGTCAGAGTGAATGACAGAACCATTTGAAGTGTCTATGATGTCAGCTATTGTTTCTGCTGTCGATGGCGGTTTGGCTTACTTTTTAAATTCTCGCATGACTTTTCTCTCTCTCTCTCTCTCTCTGTGAGAGAGAGAAAGTGTATGTGTGTGTGTGTGTGTGTGTGTGTTTGTGTTTCTTCTAAGAAGGAAAATGATTATAGCTTGAGGAGAATCGGGATGAGGATTCAGGTGTTAAGGCTTTTTGAGAATTACCCCTCCGTGGTATATGAGAAAGAGAAATGTGCTTGCCGTGTTTCCAGTCTTCCAGCTCCCTCACGAAGAGGACCCCAGTGCAATACTGGCAATGCTTCCAGAGCTCCCAGAATGAGGATTAGTTTGTAAATGAGTCGGAAGGGAATTGAGCTACCCTGGAATCAGTGTAGTAATATACCAGCATGAGGATCCTTCGGTGGATTCTGAATTCTGTTTAGAATGAGTTTATAGTTCGTGTAGGGTTTGTTTCCTTGTGTCTTTTCCAGAGCGAGTGTCGCGGTGGGAGCAGTGATCTGCTACGGTTTGTCACGGTCTCCAGTCATGAATGAGTTTAGTGGGTGTGGCCGCTGTTTTCAGCAGTAGCGTGATTGTGGGGGCATCGAGGAGCTACGAGGGGCTAGAACTTGCTCCAGTTGTTTCCTTGTGTTTTGAGTTGTATTTGCTTGTATCATGTTTGTTTTCCATCTTGGCAGAAACGTTTTCCAGGAAAGGCTGTTGCCAGTGGATTTGATTCCGAGGACTGGGGTTTCGGTGGGAGTGGGAGGGCTGCAGGGTGATCGGTGCTTCTCCCACCTCCAGAAAAAGAGCGTGTGGCTTCTCCGCCTTGGGGAGGATGTTCTGCTGTCTTGTGAGGTTTGCAGGCCACCTGAGATTCTCTCTTGAATTGCTGTCGAAATAGAGACAGCATTGTCTCCGGCCCTTGCTGGGGAAGCTTTTCTGAGTTTTTGTGTTTAATTTTGAGACGGAGTTTTGCTTTTGTTGTCCAGGCTGGAGTGCAATGGTGGGATCTGGGCTCACCGCAGACTCCGCCTCCCGGGACAAGTGATTCTCCTGTCTCAGCCTCCTGAGTAGCTGGGATTACAGGCGCTCGCCGGCAAGCCTGGGCGCGTTTGGTATTTTTAGTAGAGACGGGATTTCCTCATATTGGCAGATCAAGGCTGGTCTCAACTCCTGACCTCAGGTGATCCGCCCCAGCCCCGACCTCCCAAGCGATGGGATTACAGGCGTGGGTCACCGTGCCCGGACTTGTCTGAGTTTTACACGGTCGCTGATTGGATCATGTCCCCTTCCCCGGAGCAGATGCTTTTCTGTCTTCCTTAAGGGCAGTGTCTCTGGCTCCTGTCCTGTCTCCATACGTATTCTTCCAGGCTTGAAGGCCTCTTCTCACCTTGCCTGCATCCACTCAGGTGCCTGCTTCAGAAGCTTCTTCGGCACCCATTCTGCTGACAGCCCAGGGCACAGGACTTTGATCTCTTGGACTGCGCACTTGCTCGGTTTTGCCTTGTGGCTTAGGTCTTTGTGTCTTTCTCTCTGCCCCTCACTATTGGTACACCCACAAGAATGAGATATACGTAAGGGTGTGTGCGCGTGCGTTTGTGTGCGCTCGTGTGTGTCATATCTGGCACGCGGACCTGTGATTACCAGCCGCGTGAGGCAAGAAATGCCCTGAGTTGGAATGCAAACCTTCACGAAACAGAAGCTCCTATGAGGTGAACTCAAGGTTGTTAACCTGGTCATCTCATGGTAATTAGAAAGTCTGATTGGCAGCTTTAGACTTCTTGATTCAGAACCTCAATAAGCTGATTAAGGTGTCGCCAACCTTTCATAGGGGTTCTGGGTGAAAAGACTGGGAATGATTGTATCAGGTGCTTAGTGAAACTATTTTGACTTCGCCATCGTACCAGTTGTTAGCATTTATTCATGAAATCCGATAGTTCCTTTCTTCAAAGAAATAGCGGTTTTCTTTGGAGCCGTGCTCTGGTTCTGTCACCCAGGCTGGAGTGCAGTGGGAATGAGGCGGAGTCACAGCCCGGCCTCCGCTCGCCCAGCTCAGTCAATCCTGCCACCTCAGTCCCCTTTAAGCTGGGACCACAGGACCACCCAGGACCACAGAAGCCGTGCCACCACCTCCAGCTAATTGTGGTATCATTTGTGGAGGCGGGGTTTCTCCATTGTGGCCGGGCTGGTCTCAAACAACAAAAAACAAAAACGATCAGTGAACAGCCAAATGGGAGTTGACCGAATCGTTCCCATCTTCTGAATGAATTCTGAGGTGGCCTCCAGCAGGAGGCAGTGGCTGGTGTGGGAGCAAAGTGCAGAGGCCCAGCACTTGACACCTGCAGGTCACCAGAGGCTCAACTTTGCACCCAAAGCCCAAAGGTGCTGCACCATGTCATTGGAGAAGTTTCGTTCCCCAACCCACATCGACTTTGCATTGTTCCTCCTCCCCAGATTTAGCCTAAGGCAAGTCTGAGTTTATCTTCAGGAGAATCTCTTGTAGTCTCAGATTGCCTTGGCCATCAGCGGGGCCACTTTCTTGGCAGCCGGTTTCCGTGTTTTGGCGGCGGGCACCGGGCGCTCATTGCTGCTGCTCAGGCAGGCGTTGGCCCTCTTCTCAGGGAGCCGGTGAAGGACCGGCTGCCTCTGCTGCTGCTGCTGCTGCTGCTGCTGCTGCTGCTACTACTACTGATGCTGCTGCTGCTGCCTGCCTCCTGCTGCTGCTGTGCTGCTGCCGCTGCTGCCGCCGCGGCGCCGTCCACCGCCACAGAGCTGCCACCGCCCTGTGGCCACCGCCCACGCGCCGCCCGGCTGGAGGAACGTGGCTGCTGCCCGCGAGGTTTGGGGGCTGGCTTGATCTCTCCTCTCCGGGGTCCAGCTGACTCCTGCAGACTTCTCTTGCCTCCTTGAAGCATCATAAGGCGTCTTGGCCCCAGAGTTGAAACAGATCATCTTTGTCTGTCGGCCGCTGGGTTTGTTTTTCCACGTGCAGATCAGTTTTTCGTGGTGACTGCTCGCAACCGCTGCTCGGGAGTCGAAGCCTCAGATACAGCTCCCGCCAAGACTCGTGCTCCTGTGGCTTTTCTTCCTTGGAAGTCTGGGAGACAATGAATCCTCCATAATTCATCTGTGTCCCCAGCGGGTGCGTGATTGTATTTCTCTCTGCCAGGCACAGCTGATCAGGCGTCCCACCACTTCCCGGAAGGGGTTCAAGAACCCGAGAGTAGGGGACCTCCCGTGCGCCGAGGCGTCCGGATTGTCTAAGCCCCCGGATGCACTGCGGCGCGGCGATCAGCACCACCTGGGGCTGGCAGGCAGGCCTGGGCCAGTACACCTGTCTTAGCATTCACTCTGTGTCCAGTGAAGGCGGCTTCCTCCTGGAAGGTTGGTGCGGAGAGTGCTTCTGGCTTTTCCTGGGAGGTCACTTGGCCTCAAAGCGGGAAAGCAGATCGTGGTTGGCCTGCATCAGGCCTCTGGGGAATCCCAGAGCTCTGAGAAGGCATGGCTGGGCACCGTTTTAGGCCGAGGCGGAATCAGCGCCGGCCACCTGCAGCCTCTCTGACTGGCTTTCCTGGACAGGAGGCAATTTCTTGTGAAGCCAAGCGGGCGTTTGTGCCCCTTGCTGTGGCTCACAAAGCGCTTCCCCCTGAGGTTGGCCCTGGCAGCCTGACCCAGCAGAGCCCACCTGGGCGGCGTAGGCGTGGCTCTTCAGGGTTGCTTCCCGGGCACAGCGGGCTCAGGACTGTCAGGTGGGCTCCTGGGGACCGTCCCATTCTCTGGGAATCCCCAGGCCTTTTCCTGGTCCTGAAGAGCCTCCCCCATAGCGCTTTCGAGCGCTCTCCTGGGGTCGTGTGCATCAGGCCCGGTGTTTCAGGTCCAGAAGCACCAGCTTCTTCCCACCGAGCCGCTAAGTCTCTGGCAAAGTCGCCCGTGCTGGTGCCTTCCGCAGGCGCTTCACCGTCTTTCTGATTCCAGTCTCCGCCAGGATGTCTGCCGTCATGGGCAAAGTACGGAGAGTTTCTGCAAACATTTCTCTAGCTTTTCGAGTCCGTCTTCGTGGCCAGACGCACCTGCAGCTTCTCCACTGCGTGCATGTAGTGGACCCTGCACTCATCTCAGCAGAGCTGTGCAGCGTCGCTGTCGAGTCGGCGGCTCTGTCCTCGGGGCGGCAGGACCACGAGTCTGGGTCAGCGGGTGCAGCTGCCCGGTTAGGGGATAATGGAGTCGCAGCCTGGAGAGGCTCGATCCTCGGGCAAGCGGAGCCGCACTGGTTCTGGGGCGCTGGTCTCGCCAGACACGCAGGCCTCGGGCGTGGAGTCACGGCAACCTGGAGCAAGCTCAGTCCTCGGTGCAGCCGGCCACTTGGTCTGGAACGCCGGTCCTTGCAGACAGCTGAGCAGGCCAGCACGGGTCGGGATGTGGAGCCACAGCCTGGGACCTCTGCCGTGCGCCGATCAACGCCCGAGTGAAGCTCCGTGCCAGAGCACGGCCTTATATAGCCAGCCCCAGGCCCACCCAGGGCTGAAGCCCTGACATGCCCCCTTGGCCTGGGCTGCCAGCGTCTCACGTCATTAGTCAGCAAAATGGCCAATCAGGACGGTCCACGCCAGGTGGCCTGCTGTGCCCCACAAGTTGTTTAGGTTAATTTCAGCCTGGACACACCCCACTGAGTTCTACCGCTGGCCCTCCGTGTTGGCAGGTTCCTCGTCTGTGGATTCCAAAAAGACACATGACTGAATCTTCTTGGGAAGTGAACCGAAAATAACAACACGAGAACACACTTAAGACAAAATGGTAGAAAGAAGAACCCACAGAGGATAACAACCCTTTACCTAGGATTGACGTGGTGTGAGGGGACTTGCCAACATTCGTGGAAAAGTGGGATTAAGAGAGAAAAATGAAACAGGTGTATTTCACTTCTCAACATCGGCTCCATCAAGTTCAAAGTGACTTTTGGAAGCAGTGTCTTTTCCCCGCCCTCCTAGCCCATCCTCTAAAACCCCAGGGTCCTGGGAATGTAACGATTTCCATGAAATCTTTTTTCCATCGTTAACTGGAGAAAACTGGGTGCTTTTTACAGATTTTCTAAGTCTAGGAAACAAAAAGAAGTCAGCAGGCGCCAAATCAGGACTGTAAGGTGGACGCCTCATGATTTCTGTGACAAGTCTTGCCCAGCTGCCCTTGTCGATTGAAAGGCATGAGCAGGAACATTGTCGTGGTGGAGAAGAACTCTCTGGTGAGGACTGTTCTCGCTCCAGCTTTGGCGTGAGCTTTGTAGCAGCTCTCCTAGTGTGAGCAGATGTGATCACGGTTTGGCCCTCAGAAAATTGGCCCAGGCCGGAATTCCTCTGGCATCCCCCAAGCGGTGGCCATGACCTCTGCTCTTGACTGCTCCCTCTGTGGCTTTGAATGGAGGCGCTGCCACCTCTTGGTATTACGGCTAGTGTAGTCTTCAGGATCCTGCCGGTAGAGCCACGTTTCTCTCCTGTTAGCAGTCTTGGAAAAGCAGCCAGGATCTTGCTCCCACCGGCTGTTTAAAATCTCCTCAGAAAGGCTTGCTCTGGCCTGCAGGTGATGTTGGTGCCACGGTTTGGGCAGCCGAATTCCACTCTAATCTTTCCAGTCAGAGTGGAGGCAAACAGAACCATTTGAAGTGTCTGTAGTGTCAGCTATTGTTTCTGCTGTCGATGGCGGTTTAGCACTTTAAATTTCGCATGACTTTCTCTCTGAGAAGAGAATCTTTAATAATGTGTGTGTGTGTGTGTGTGTTTGTGTTTCTTCTAAAGAAGGAAAATGATTATAGCTTGAGAATCGGGGGATGAGGATTCAGGTGTTAAGGCTTTTTTGAGAATTACCCCTCCGTGGTATGTAGAGAAAGAGGGAAATGTGCTTGCCGTGTTTCCAGTCTTCCAGCTCCCTCCACGAAGAGGACCCCAGTGCAATACTGGCAATGCTTCAGAAGCTCCCAGAATGAGGATTAGTTGTAAATGAGTGGAAGGGGTGGGCTACCTGGGTCGGCGAGGAGTGTGGTAATATACGGATCCTTGGTGGGTTCTGAATTCTGTTTAGGGTAGGTTTATAGTTCGTGTGGGGTTTTGTTTCCTTTGTGTCTTTTCAGAAGCTGAGTGTCGCGGTGGGAGCAGTGATCCTGCTACGGATACATCACCGGTCTCCAGTCATGAGATGAGTTTAGTGGGTGTGGCCGCTTATTTCAGCAGTAGCGTGATTGTGGGGGCATCGAGGAGCTACGAGGGGCTAGAACTTGCTCCAGTTGTTTCCTTGTGTTTTGAGTTGTATTTGCTTGTATCATGTTTGTTTCCATCTTGGCAGGGGAAACGTTTCCAGGAAAAGAAGGCTGTTGCAGTGGTTTGATTCCAGGGACTGGGGTTTCTCGGTGGGAGTGGGGAGGGGCTGCAGGGTGGTGGCTTCTCCACCTCCAGAAAAATGTCAGCTCGCCTTGGGGAGGATGTTCTGCTGTCTTGTGAGGTTTGCAGGCCACCTGAGATTCTCTCTTGGTGCTGTCGAGAAATAGAGACTGACATTGTCTCCGGCCCTTGCTGGGGAAGCTTTTCTGAGTTTTTGTGTTTAATTTTGAGATGGAGTTTTGCTTTTGTTGTCCAGGCTGGAGTGCAATGGTGGGATCTGGAGCTCACCACTGAACTCCGCCTCCCAGGTTCAAGTGATTCTCCTGTCTCAGCCTCCTGGTAGCTGGGATTACAGGCCTTCGCCGACAAGCCTCGGCGCGTTTGGTATTTTTAGTAGAGACGGGATTTCCTCATATTGGTCAGGCTGGTCTCCAACTCCCACGGCCTCAGGGTGATCCCTTTGGCCCCGGCCTCCCAAAGCGATGGGATTACAGGCGTGGTGCATGCCCAGACCTCTGAGTTTTACCACCGGTCGCTGATTGGATCATGTCCCCTTCCCCGGAGCAGATGCACTATTATGTCTTCACTTAAAGGGCAGTGTCTCTGTGGCTCCCTGTCCTGTCTCCATACGTGTTCTTCAGGCTTGAGGCCTCTTCTCACTTGCACCTGCATCCATAGGTGCCTGCTTCAAGCTTCGCTTCCGGCACCCATTCTGCTGACAGCCCAGGGCACAGGACTTTGATCTCTTGGACTGCCCTTGCTCGGTTTTGCCTTGTGGCTTAGGTCTTTGTGTCTTTCTCTCTGCCCCTCACTGTTAGGTACACACCCCATAAGAATGAGATATCTTTGGCAGAGGTGTGTGCGTGTGCGTTGTGTCAGCTCATTATTGTGTCATATCTGGCACGCGGACCTGTGATTACCAGCCGCGTGAGGCCAAGAAATGCCTGAGTTGGAATGCAAACCTTCCGGCTTGCAGCTCCTATGAGGTGAACTCAAGGTTGTTAGCTGGTGTCTCATGGTAATTAGAAAGTCTGATTGGCAGCTTTAGACTTCTTGATTCAGAACCTCCAATAAGCTGATTAAGTGCTTCAACCTTTCATAGGGGTTCTGGTGAAAGACTGGGAATGATTGTATGCGGTGCTTAGTGAAACCTTACGGCTTGCGCCATCTGTGCAGTTTGTTAGCATTTATTCGCGAAATCCGATAGTTCCTTTCTTCGAAATAGCGGTTTCTTTGAGCGATGCTCTGGTTCTGTCACCCAGGCTGGAGTGCAGTGGAATGGCGAGTCACGGCAACCTCCGCTCGCCCAGCTCAGTCAATCCTGCCACCTCAGTCCTTTAGAAAGCTGGGACCACAGGACCACAGGACCACAGGGGCCGTGCCACCACGCCAGGCTAATTGTGGTATCATTTGTGGAGGCAGGGTTTCTCCATTTGGCCGGGCTGGTCTCAAACAACAAAAACAAAAAAGCGATCAGTGAACAGCCAAAGTAGAGTTGACCGAATGCGTTCCCATCTTCTGTGAGGTGGGGTGGCCTCCAAGCAGGAGGCAGTGGCTGGAGCAGGAGGCCAAATCACCCAGGGCCAGCACTTGACACCTGCAGAATCACAGAGGCTCCTTTGCACCAAGCCAAGGTGCACAGTCCATTGGAAGTTTCGTTCCCCAACCCACATCGACTTTGCATTGTTCCTCTCCCCCAGATTTTAGCCCTAAGGCAAGTCTGGGTTATCTTGGAGAATCTCTTGTAGTCTCAGATTGCCTTGGCCATCAGCAGAGACACCCTTTCTTGGCAGCCGGTTCCGTGTTTTGAGCGGCGGGCACCGGGTGCTCATTGCTGCTGCTCAGGCAGGCGTTGGCCCTCTTCTCAGGGAGCCGGTGAAGGACGCTGCTGCTGCTGCTGCTGCTGCTGCTGCTGCTGCTGCTGCTACTGCAAATGCTGCTGCTGCTGCTGCTGCTGCTGCTGCTGCTGCTGCTCGTGCTGCTGCTGCCGCTGCTGCCGCCGCGGCCGCCGTCCGCCGCCCACCAGACTGCCACCGCCCTGTGGCCACCGCCCACGCTTGGCTGGAGGCAGTGGCTGCTGCCGCGGAGTTTGGGGCTGGCAGTCTCTCCTCTCCCGGGGTCAGCGGCTCCTGCAGACTTCTCTTGCCTCCTTGAAGCATCATAAGGCGTCTTGGCCCCAGAGTTGAAACAGATCATCTTTGTCTGTCGGCCGCTGGGTTTGTTTTCCGTGCAGATCGGATTTTGTGGTGACTGCTCGCAGCCGCTGCTCTCTCAAGTCGAAGCCTCGGTCAGCTCCCACTTCCAAGACTCATGCTCCTGGCTGTGGCAAAGTCCTGGAGACAATGAATATCATAATTCATCTGTGTCCCCAGCGGAGTGCGTGATTGTATTTCTCTCTACGATACAGCTGAGTCAAATCCACCCTTCAGAGGTTCAAGAACCAGTAGGGGACCCCTCCCACATGCTTGAGGCGTCAGTTTAATGTCTAAGCCCCGGATGCACACTGTAGGCGCGCGTCAGCACCTGGGGCTGGCAAGCCAGGCCTGGGCCAGTACACCTGCGTCTTAGCATTCACTCTGTGTCCAGTGAAGGCGGCTTCCTCCTGGAAGGTTGGTGCGGAGAGTGCTTGCTGGCTTTCCTGGGGAGGTCATGGCCTCAAAAAGCGGAAGCGGTCGTGGAGTTAGCCTGCATCCAGGCCTCTGAAGTCCCAGAGCTCCTGAGAAGGCTGGGCACCGTTTTGGGCCCAGCG